AAAGTACATTTTAATGGCAAAAGCTAACTGAGAACACACACTCACCTTCTCAGTGTATAAGGAAAGAACAAAGAGATACCATGCAAAGCACCTTCTAAGGTGAGCTCAAGAATGATGCTGAAGGAAAGGGCTGTTAACCTCAGCCACCTGCCTTTCTGGATTACAGTAAAGCCATCAGCAGCTGGATGAAGTCCCTTGCTTCAGGTCAAGGAGGAACCAAGGATGATGCCTCAGTTCCTCTGTATTTACATGCAAGGATCACTGGTTACGAAACCTCCCATTCATCTCACTGATCTCAGTCACCTGCAGATCCACTGATGAGCTGGGAGTTGAAGGATAAAAACTAGTTCACTGAAACACACAGACCCATACATCTCAGTACCACCTTCCTAGGGTCCAAATTAGATCACTCACACCATTAAGGCATATTCCAAAGAACTCCAGGATTACTAACCAAAAAACAAAACAAACAAACAAAACAGGAAAAGCCCACAAACTCCTTGTTTGCCAAAAATTACCAGATACTGCACAAACTTAATATCTAGTCCCTCCTTTCATGGAATGCAGGGTCAGCACACAAGTTAGATAAACATTTACCTTAAAAAACGATGAATCCAGAAATTTTTAAAAACAAAACAAAAAATGTTTTGTTCTATCTTACTCCAAAGTTATTGTTTTTATCTGAACTAATCGCCAACGTTTACAAAGTTTGAGTACACACACACACACACACACACACACACATCCCCAGGTCTCTTCTTGAAAGACTGGATAATCTGGCCATCCTAGGGCCACATTCCTGTCAGGGGCAGCAACAGGAGAGGTGCAGTAGCAGCTTTCAGATGGAAGATGTTCTCTCTACTTCTCCAGAGCCCTCAGCAGCATCTTGGTCTCCCAGAATTAATTAACAACAAAAAAATTTTATTGGGGGAAAAAAAAGATTTTTTCCAAAGAAAAAATACTTCGTGTATAACCATTTGCTAGTTTAAATAATCAAAGGGGAAAAAAGGAAAAAGAAAAATGTAAGCACACAAAATTAGGGAACAGGACAGGGATAACAGCCCCAGATACAGAGGAAAAAGCTGGATAAAACAGGTGATTTTCTATGGACATGTAAATCACCAAAACTAAGCCCAGAAAGAGATAGCAAATCTAAAAAAGCACCAGCTTAGGTAGTTTCACAGGGGAATTCCACCAAATTTAAAGAAACCAATAATTTCAAGAGTATTTAAACTAGCTAATGCAGAGAAAGCTTTGAATAAAGCTACGGAAAGCAATAAAACAACTTGATAAAGAGTACATTAAGAAACAAAATTACAAACTACTTTCACATATAACAATGTAAAGTGACTAAGTAAAATATTAATAGAACCTGGCTACATATTAACGGAGTTTTCACAGATGATTCAATAATATGATGATGATTCAATAACATAATATCTGTTACTATAATCCATATCAACAGGTCAAGAAAGACCATCTAAATTATAATTTCACAGATGTTAAATGGCATTTCATAAAAGTCAACAACCATTTTTTATTAAAAAAACAAATAGCAACAACACACCCCTTAGTAAAATAACTAGTGTGGCAAAAACACTAAAAGCATTCTCAGTAAAGTAAGGAACAAGACAAAATACGCACTAGCATTCCCAGTATTTAATCTTGTTTTGGAAATACAATGCAACCAAAAAAATGAAACAAGAGACATAAAAAGTAGAAAACATGGAATTAAATTCTTATTATTTGGGACTGATATGATATTATACCTGAAAATCCAAAAGAACCAACTGCAAACACTAATAGAAACAATATGATTACATAAGTTGCTGCTTGCAAAATTAATAAGTACAAAATTAATAAGTAATTTAATAAAGTTTCAGGGTGCCTTGGTGGCTCAGTCAGCTAAGCCTCTGCCTTCGGCTCAAGTTCTGATCCCAGCATCCTCGGATCAAGCCCTGCATTGGGCTCCCTGCTTAGGGGGGAGTCTGCTTCTCCTTCTGCCTGCTGCTCCCCCTACTTGTGCTCCCTCTAGTAAATAAATAAAATCTTTTAAAAAATTATTAAGTACAATAATAGAAATATGTAACATAAGAAAGGGTCCTATTTTCAACAACAAAAAAAAGACCAAATAACTAGGAATAAACTTAAGAAATGTACAGGATTTTTAAACAAACATTTTAAAGACATTTCTGAGACAACTGGAGAAATGTGTATGTAGATTGGATTTTAGATTAAATTAATAATAGGCAATAAACTGTTAATTTTTATAAATATAAAGTTTTGATAAATATAGGAATGAGGTTATATTATTTCAAAAGTTCCTATTTGTTCCAGTTCCCAAGTTATACTCTTAAGTAGTTATGAATAAAATCATTTGTTAATTCTGAAGTAGTTATGAATAAAATCATTTGTTTTAAAATATTCTAGTTCTCCATCCTACAAAGAAATGGAGGGAGGAGGGACAAATGATTCAAGATTGGCAACACATGGGAAACCGTTTAAGAAGATGTGATGGATACATCAAGGTTCATTATATTGTCTCCCCTACTTTTGAATATTTGAAAATGTGCACAATAGGACCCAAAGAAAAGGCAGATAATGAGAGACCCAAAGGTAAGCAACAGGCTTATAAAAACACACACAAATTGCCAGCTAACAATTAGAAATGCAAATTAAAGTTACAAATAGGATGTCATTTTCATCAATCAAATAGAAAAAAGATAAAAAATATTTGGTAACATTCAGCATTGGGGGGAAGAGAGGCAACTGACACTGCTGGGGAAAGTATTCATCGGTACATTGAAGGGCACTTTGGCCTCACCTTTCAAAATTATAAACACACACTCACAAACACACACTTGGCCCAGCAATTCCACTTCTTAGGAATTTACACCACAGATAATTAAATCAAGTATTTTCTGCCACCTACAATAGCCATACACTAGAGATAGAAAAGTGGAGGAAACAATGCCCCTGCTCTCATAGGGCTTCCATTCTTGTAGGGGAGGAGACAGCCAATAAAGCAAGTTAAGTACACAGACAATTGTAAGTTCGAGAGAGGTAAGTGTGATGAAAAAAGCAAACAGAATAAGAGCATTGGGAATGGCAAGAAGTCTATTTTGCATGGGCTGGTCTCTCAGAGAGGGAGGGCCTCTCTGAGGACAGGAGGACGTGACAGTTGGGCAGAGACCTGGGTGAGGAAGAAAACAAAGCAGAAGCATGTCCAGGAGAACATTCCAAGAAGGGAAGGAAGCCACGGGCTAACATGCAAACTTGGCTTTCCTGCCCTCTGCTTTACTTTTTATTCCCTAACAGTCTTTCATTCCTTCAAAGAATATGAGCACCTCTTGAATGTCTCTTTGTCCCAATACAAAAATGAAAATAAGCATACCCTTTTAATACAGTACATCTTTCAAGGAAGGTACCAGGCCAGCACTGTTTCCCCAAACACTCTTGGGCCTAACAATTTCATTTCTTCAAAGGAAGAATTCCCAAACTTATCTCGGTGTAATGCCAAACCTGTTAACAAAAGTACATTAAAGCTATTCATGAATTTTTAATGCAGATAAACCTTTCCACAAAAAAAGAGGACAAATTAGTTTCACAAAAGATACTGACCAGCTACTAGATAACTTTATACCAAAAAAAAACCAAAAACAAAACCAAAAAACCTGTCAGTCCCTGCCCTTCTGCAAGAATGTGAACCATTGACTTAGAGGAGACTGCAATTTAATTTCATAACCTTTTAAGCAATGAATTTGAAATGCTGAAATGTCTATTTGGATAAATACTTCTATAATATAAATATTCTATAAATAGAAATATTTATTGAAATATTTTTATTTTATTTATCCAAATATTCATATTTTCAATTTCGTGATCTTTCAGGCAATGAAATTGATATTTTTAGAGACTATTTTGATAAATATTTGACACTGAAGTAGCCAGTGTCAATTAAGGGCATTCCAGTTGACCCCAAAAGAAAGGACTCGGTAACACCTGAGAACATTACATAGTAACTTGTTCAAAACCGTGAAACATCCAGACTTCACACTTGCCATGAATGATACGTTCTATGACCAGCCAGATTACAAAGCTAGCATACAAGGAGAGCTTTGTCCCTGTGAAATACACTATCTTAATTCTGAAATCAGCTTTACCTGGATGTATTCATCTCCTAATCAGAGGGAGAAAGCAAAAAACTAAGACTTCCAGACTCTACGGAGATTCCTAAGGAGACAACTCAGTGCAGTCAAATTTCAAGCACCTGCACAACCAACGACAGGTTTCCCTCCAACCGCTGGCGATGCGGTGTCCCCCTGGGCACAGCGCATTTAACCTTCCCCCAAACGTCCAGCAGTTCTGAGCAGAGAACGCCACTTCTGATGACGAGCTACCCGAGAAAAATGACCAGAGTGAGAAACCGAAAAAAGGTAAGCTTCCGCACAAGCCAGCCGAGCACGAGGGGCGCTCGGTTTTGAGTTCTATGCAGATCTGAGGCGAAGAGCCCCAACACTCTCAGGCTCAGGAGCCTGCGCTTCTGCGTCTCATCTACGTGCCGGCGTCCGGGAGCCTCACAGGGGACGCCCCCCGCCCCCACGCTCTTCTCTGCTCTCCCACGCGGGGTCGTGACTGCCCGCTGCTCCCAGCCCTCGGAGGAGACACTGGTCCAGCCCGTCGCGGACAGGGTCCCACTGGCTCCCCTGGGAAGGGGAAGGGCACGGGGCTGAGCTCCGCGGAGGGCCAGAAAAGGACACCCGGGGAGGGAGGGGACCGTCGGAGTGCTCCCGCAGGCAGATACCTTGGGGAAAGGATGCCCACGGGCTGCACCCGCCGGCCAGGCGAGGGGAAAGGATGGAGGAGAATCGGAAAAGGACACCGGAGTGTGGAAGGGAGATGTGGGGCGCTCCTGCAGGCAAGAAACTTAAGGAAGGCCGGGAGGATCCAGGTCTGCTTGCGCGCCAGGTAGGGGGCCTTGCCCCTGCGCCGCGCCTCACCTGCCCAGAGCCCGCTTCATGCCCGCGTCCGCGGCGCAGCGCGGCTCTGCCGGCCTCTTGCCCGCCAGGCGCAGGTTCTGCTTCAGGCGGCAGTCGGCGTCCAGCGCCGCGGCGGCCGAGCCGGAGGAGGACGAGCCCGAGGCGGCGCAGCGCTCATGCTCCAAGGCGACGGGCTCGGTCCGCTTCCTCATCCCGCGGCCGACACGGCCGGCCGCCGGCGGCGTCCGCTGACCTCGCCCGCCCGCGCTGCAGTCACCGCTACTCACGGGAGCCGCGGCCGCCAGGAGCCCGCACCCCCTCGCATCCCAGCCCCAGGCCGCACCGCCCGGCTCTACGGACCGGCGACTGGGACCAGGCTGGCCGCGTCGGCCAATTAGCGCCGCGCTCCCACCGGCCACGCCCCGCCCCGCCCCGCCCCCTCCTGGGTTCCGCCGGGAGCGCGCCCAGCGTCCCCGGCGCTGACCTGCGGCCATTTTGGAGAAGGGCGTGCGAAGCCTTGCGGGGTGTCGCGGGTTGGTGGTGGCCGAGCGACGGGTGGTGCAGGCGAGGAGTCTGGGCTAGGGCGCCGCGGCGGGGAGGGTCGCCTTTGCCGGCGTGCTCAGCGCCGTGAGCAAACGCACTCGGTCCTGCCCCAGATCAGTGACCCAAATGTGGGAGGACAACGGCCCGAAAGCACCCAACGAGCCAGAGCCGCAGAGGAGAGCTGGCTCCTTCCTCTCCCGCCCCAGACTGATTTTTCCCTAATGCTGGAAACCCAACGTGAACGAATCCCTCGGAAACGTTTCTCTCAATGATTTATGAGAACAAAATCAAAAGGTAACAAGTCACCATTTTCATGATTTATAACTATTTTCCCACAAGATTTTACTTTTTTTTAAATTGTTCTTATTTTTTTGATTTTTTTTTAAATTTTATTTTTTATAAACATATTTTTTTTTCCCCAGGGGTACAGGTCTGTGAATCGCCAGGTTTACACACAAGATTTTACTTTTTAAAAAATATGCTTTCAGGTACTTTTTTTTTTAACACAAACATATAGGTAATTTAATTTTTAAGTTGAGTGCTGAACTTATGAAAACAACTCATTAAACAATTTACTTCTTAAAGTCTGTATTTGATTTTAGATTTTTGTAAAGCAATTAGTAGCTGGAGCAGGAGACTCTTGACCAGGTTGGGAGTAGAGATTACTTAAAGAATCCTAAAAAAAAAAAAAAAAAAAAAAAAAAAAAGTGGAAAAAAATGTGTTTCAAAGATAAATTTACACTTGTGAAACCCAAGTTAAGAACTAATTCAGGGGCGCCTGGGTGGCTCAGTGGGTTAAGCCTCTGCTTTCTGCTCAGGTCATGATCTCAGGGTCTTGGGATGGAGCCCCACATCAGGCTCTCTGCTCAGCAGAGAGCCTGCTTCCCTCTCTCTCTCAGCCTGCCTCTCTGCCTACCTGTGATCTTTCTCTCTGTCAAATAAATAAATAAAGTCTTTTAAAAAAAAATAATTTAACTCATCTTACAAAGAAAAGAGTAGTTTCACAAATTTAGTTTTACAGCTTTGGCATTCTTTAATATTTCTTGAAAAGGATCTACAATCAAGAGATTTGCTTACTTATCACAAAGTGAACTTTCATTCAACATTCAAAATTTCAACATTTCTGTTAGTTGAAAACTATTGGCAACTGATAATTTAACATCAATTAGAAATCCCTTTAGAAATTAGTAGCTCCTTCTGGGGGCACCTGGGTGGCTGGCGCAAGTGGCTTAAAGCCTTTGCATTCAGCTCAGGTCATGATCACAGGGTCCTGAAATCAAGCCCGGCATTGGGCTCTCTGCTCAGCAGGGAGCCTTCTTCCTCCTCTCTCTTGCCTGCCTCCCTGCCTCCTTGTGATCTCTATCTGTCAAAGATTTAAAAAAAAAAAAAAAAAAAGAAAAAGAAAGAAAGAAATTAGTAGCTCCTTCTATTAGCTTTGTAATGATGCTTAAATTGTGAAAGAATTTCATTAATTGTGTTATAAAAATATCCCAACCAGCACTCAATTGTGAATTCTTTAAACTGTTATACTAGCACAAACTGGGATTAGGAATCCAGAAACTGAATTTAAAAAAAATTTTTTTTTTTACCCTATCACTCACAAAATCCTCTTTAATAGGAAAAAGAAAAAAACAAAAAACAAGGGAGGGCTGTTGAGAAGAGAAATGTTTTTATTGAGTCTGGATGGCATTAGGCCTTGCCCATACAGTCCTCAGCTCTTGTCCTGTAAGGGCCAAGGGCCAGGCTGATCCAAGGTGGGCCACTTTGGTTTGAAGATTATTTTGAGCTAAAGGCAATTAAGACCCTATAGACTTCCTCCCTGTGGAAGAAACTTTTTGCCCCTCCCTTGACTATACAGAAGAATCTAAATTGGGGTTTTTTCCCAGAATAACTTATTACCAGAAATAAATTTTATCTGAGTGACCCATCTATATGGCAAGGCAAGTATCTAATTACCAAACATTTGCTCTTCTTACTGCCCTGTGACTTGCATTCTTCCCCTTCAAAGTCCCAGACCCCTACCTGATTCTCCTTAGTTCAGGATAACATAAGATACCTTATTTTGCCTGACTATCTTTGGAATTTCCATGTCAGTGTGGATTCCTTGTATGTAGGAAAATAATTTGGTTTTCTATTTCATATCAATCTGATTCTTAGTACAGCTAGAAGGTCCTAGAAGGGAACAGGAAATTCTTGCTTCCTGATATTCCACATTGACTTTCTGTATGGTCTTTAAATACCATCTTACGCTGGTGACACCCACATTTGTATCTTGTACCCCTTCCTTGAACTCCAGGGTCTTCTATCTAATGGTCTACTCATCCACTCTGATATCCTGTAGGCACCTAAAGTTACGATGTTCAAAGCTGAGCTCCCAACTCTTTTCCCATCCCAAACTCCATGTGTAACCTTCCTCACCTCAGGAATGACAATATTATACTTCTATTTCCTTGGGTCAGAACCCTGGGATCATCCTTGAATCCTCCCTTCTTATGTCTATCTGTATTACCACTCCTTTCAAAATCTATCCAGGATGCAACCATTTCTCACTACCTCCTCCATCCGCACTCTGGCCCAAGCTGCCATCCTCTCTCACTTGGATTATTTTACTAGTGTAAGTGGTCGCCTACCTCCACTTTTGCCAACTTTTGTCTACTTAACTCAGCTGTTAGAAAGTTCTTTTTAAAGATGTAGGTCCAGTCCTGTCATTTGTTTGCTTAAAATAACTATGGTTTCCCATCTCACTGAAGATAAAACAAAGCTTGTGAAAGGGTCTCCAGCCCTCACTCTGATCTCAGCCACCAAGGTCTCCCTCCCTTACTCTGCTCCAGTGTCACTGCCTCCTTGCTGAGGCTGGGGTCTCAAGGAGAGGTGTGGGTTGAATGTGTGTGAGTCATACATCCCCCTCCTTGGGGCCTTTGCACTTGCATTCCTCCTGCTGCTAATTCTCTGCCCATTCTATGGCCCCATCTCCACATGGGTTATTCGCTCCCCACTGCAGGTCTGTGCTTTCTCTGAACACTAAGAAAACCCTCAGGTCCTCTCATCATCACTCTGTTTACCTGCCTTGGCTTATTCTCCTGAGCATTTTTCACTAATATATTTATCATTGGTATATCTGTATCCCACACTGGAACATAGACTCTGAGAACAAGGACTTTGTTCACTACTTTATCTTCAGTGTCTAGAACAATGCACAGAATATAGTAGGACTTCATAAATATTTGCTGAAGGAGTAATGAAACACCACCACCCTTCAGAAGTGTGTACTGTTGCCCCCATTGTACAGGTGAGGAAATGAATCTCAGGCCAAGGATCTGAAATTAAAAAGGTTTATGACAAAGGAAGGTTGTGGATACTGGTGATTGTTGGAACACAGTCTTGTAGCACAGACCACTATGGATCTGTGTTTTTAATAAAACTTAGCTAAATTATCCCTGACTGTAGAGCTTAAAAGGAAATGTCAATTAGCTTAAAGATTCAAAGGCTTTGTAGGCCATTCCCATGCTCATTCTTCAGATTACATATCTGTTGTATCTTTATTTGCAAAAGAGGAACATAGTTTCTAGGGTTAGCTAGAATGAATCCAGTAATATTGCCTTTTTAAAAAAGTTTTGCTTTTTAAAAGGTAGCCAAATAAAACAAGTTGTCTCTACAGCATTAATTTTCATCTCTGATGCTATATGATTATGAAAATTTCCATAATCATGTAGGTAAGATTATGGCTGTGTGAATTGATGTTAATCTGGGTATTTTCCCCCTTTGTAGGCTTCCTGATTAAAACTATTTTCCAAATGTTTTTATTTTTTTATTTTTTTTTAAAAGATTTTATTTATTTATTTGACAGAGAGAGAGACAGCACAAGCAGGCAGAGAGGCAGGCAGAGAGAGAGAAGCAGGCTCCCCACTGAGCAAGGAGCCCGATGCGGGGCTCGATCCAAGGACCCTGAGATCATGACCCGAGCCGAAGGCAGCGGCTTAACCCACTGAGCCACCCAGGCGCCCCTCCAAATGTTTTTAAATGACTCCTTTAAAATCAAAGGTGATTTTGTGGGGTTCAAAGCTTAAATAAAAAGTCTGCCACTTTAGAAGCTGAGTAAACTTGGTAGGTTATCTATTCAGTTGTTGGTGCGCCTGGCTGATTCAGTCCTTACAACTTGCAACTCTTGATCTCAGGGTACTGAATTCAAGCCCCAAGTTGGCTATGGAGCCAACTTAAAAAAAAAAAATTATTTTGCTTTCTAATCAGTACCAAGGGTCTTAAAAGCTACCTTAGGGTTAATCATGAGAATTAAATGATACATATGTCACACTCCCTACCACAAAGGAGATACCCAATAAAAGTTGGTTTCCCTTTTGAGCAAACAAAAGCCCGCACTGCAAAACGAAAATGAAATGCTGCGTCATTGCATTAATGCACACCAAGTTTCTGAGCATTCCTTCTCAATCTCAAAGTAGAACCCCGTTGAACCTAAATGAAAATGAATCGACCTAATTTAAAAAAAAAGATGTTGCGAGATACGTATATATCGCGAGCTGAGCTTCAAAAGAGAGCCTTTGCTCAACTTACAGGCTGGAACCCATGCCCGCTGACTCTCCCGCAGCTGCACGGGTTTCGCTAGGGAAGGATGCGCCCACGAAACCCTCCTCGGCTTTCACCTTTCTTATAGTGCGGCTGCGCAGCGGAGGCAATTGTCCTTTGGCCGCCGCCGTAGGCTACGAGGCCCTGGAGCGCGTTTCTATTGGCTGGGAGTGTTTGGCGCCAAAGAGCGAAACGGAGGCGGAGGCGAGTACCCGCCGCTGTGGG